TGAAACACTTTCAGTTACAAAAAATGACTTTAAATGAACAACACAGTACAATGAACAAGCGAGTTAAATAATTAAAAATATAAATTTCATCATTATCTTCATCGTATGTTACGTTGGATAGTTGAGGTTATACCTTCAGAAACTGGGTTGCTAGGTGACCAGGAAAAGAGACAAAAGAAAACAGCTGAGGATGTGTTAGTGGAGCTCTTTGGTTTAACTAGACGTGTTTAAGTTCTTTGCTATTTTTAAAAATCTTTTTAAACACCTTTGGACTAAAGCTGTTTTTTTTATGTATAGTATATATATAGAGAGAGAGAGAGCAGGTAAAACAGTTGATTAAAAACAGAGAGTGAAAATGAGAACAAAAAGACTCATATTTGCAGTTCTCTTAGGCGTTTTCAAATGCTATGATTTTTTTTTTTCTTTTCTTGGGAATTTTCACCCATATCCGATTGTTACATTGAAAAACGCTGCGAATCAAACTCAAGGACTGTGTACAGGATTTTAGGGAGCGTGTGTCGTGTTCGGTCTCAGAATGGCGTGTTGCTTTGGTATCATTCTCTGGAGATTCACTCCACTGAGAGACTCACACTTTGAACACGCTCCCTTACGGTGCAGCTATTACTTGCATATCAACGCCGAGGAGTTTTTAAGACGTCCGGAACTGCGCCTGACTGTAACGGCAAGAAGGAAAGCTAGAGAGAATATAACGCAAGATTGAAAGGGTTCCCCTTATATTCCTCTTCAACATCTCTTGCGTTTTAAGACATAACATTTGTCACCTAGCAACAACAGTCGCCGCCCGCTCTTCAGTCACCTTTCTGACTTATATACATACACATGCACAGTAAGTGTGTACATATATGAAAATGTGTGTATATGTGTCCTGCCCTGTGTTTGGTGACTGTAAAAGTGGTCCCAAGGATCGAGGGAGTGAACGTGCCAGAGCATCAGTGAAGTTCTTTGAGTGTTTTCATCTTCATAATGTTCCCTGGCCTATCAAAACACTTCTCCTCGGCCCCTACTTCTCTGTTTTAAAGCATTCAAATATTTGGTTTGTCGTTAAGAGAGTGAGGTATATGAGGAACTATCTCTCTTCTACACCCCCTAACCAGGACAACAACAGACAAGCTACAAAATAAATACAAAACAAAGCAGGAATAGAAAAAGGACAAAGAGGAGGAGTGAGGCAGAGAGCAAAAAGAGGAAGATGGATCACTGATATATTTCCGCTATCATTCAATACATACATTCCGCTGTATTTTCTATCCAGGAACCCCAAATCCCCCCATCTTTCCTCTCCTAGTTTTTGGTTTTGTAGCTGTTTAAAGCTTTCAGGTCAAGGCTCACGGCAGCACTGCGCTCGACGCCGTCACAAGCGGTAGCCTTAGCGACAGTAACCATAGCAACACCATCCCTAGCATCAGCAGTGGCGAGACAGGTACGTACAGATACAATGCACTTTCCTATAGGACCTTATCCCTTCTAAGCCATGGCAGTGTGTGCTTTTACTCTGGAAGGTTACTTCAGCGTTGAATGAATGCTACCGAAACATTTGAGCAGAAGAAACACAGTGCTGCTTTTTCCCCTGATAGGTTTCCCCCCCACAGGCTCTGTCCAGTAAGGAACAGCTAAGAGGTCGAGAAGACAAGTGTCCGGCCCTACGCTGTCGATTAACGGCCGGCACGTTAGGACCGACGATTTTTTGGTTTCAGAGATAATTACACCAAAAGGCTAACCTGTCACCATAGGGAGAAAAAGAGAGACACAGAGGACAGAAGAGAAGAAAAAGGAACTGCTCAACTCAAGTGAGAAAAAAGGAACGATGGAAAGGGTAAAAACATGACAACGTACATCAACAAGCAAAACAGACGCACACATTCACGCACATATGCCAAAATAACCGCATATCTGTCCGATTTTAGAGTGTAAAATACGTTCACGCGCACATTATCATAGGTACGCACAGACAATGACGCACCCACGCGCTCTCATTTACGCACGGAGTGAGCAGCGAACATGAAATCAAGGAGAAGATGCAGGGACAGAATAACAAACACCACTAACCCCCAAAAACGTAAACAAATATTCATCAGACATACCAAGTCTTTTCTTTATGATCATCATCGTCATCATCAAGGACTGTGTACAGGATTTTAGGGAGCGTGTGTCGTGTTCGGTCTCAGAATGGCGTGTTGCTTTGGTATCATTCTCTGGAGATTCACTCCACTGAGAGACTCACACTTTGAACACGCTCCCTTACGGTGCAGCTATTACTTGCATATCAACGCCGAGGAGTTTTTAAGACGTCCGGAACTGCGCCTGACTGTAACGGCAAGAAGGAAAGCTAGAGAGAATATAACGCAAGATTGAAAGGGTTCCCCTTATATTCCTCTTCAACATCTCTTGCGTTTTAAGACATAACATTTGTCACCTAGCAACAACAGTCGCCGCCCGCTCTTCAGTCACCTTTCTGACTTATATACATACACATGCACAGTAAGTGTGTACATATATGAAAATGTGTGTATATGTGTCCTGCCCTGTGTTTGGTGACTGTAAAAGTGGTCCCAAGGATCGAGGGAGTGAACGTGCCAGAGCATCAGTGAAGTTCTTTGAGTGTTTCACCCTCATTTTTTTCGTCTAAATGTTCCCTGGACCGATCAAAACACTAATCCTCGGCCCCTACTGACGGATGCAGCCCGCTTCTCTGTTTTAAAGCATTCATCTATTTGGTTTGTCGTTAAGAGAGTGAGGTATATGAGGAACTATCTCTCTTCTACACCCCCTAACCAGGACAACAACAGACAAGCTACAAAATAAATACAAAACAAAGCAGGAATAGAAAAAGGACAAAGAGGAGGAGTGAGGCAGAGAGCAAAAAGAGGAAGATGGATCACTGATATATTTCCGCTATCATTCAATACATACATTCCGCTGTATTTTCTATCCAGGAACCCCAAATCCCCCCATCTTTCCTCTCCTAGTTTTTGGTTTTGTAGCTGTTTAAAGCTTTCAGGTCAAGGCTCACGGCAGCACTGCGCTCGACGCCGTCACAAGCGGTAGCCTTAGCGACAGTAACCATAGCAACACCATCCCTAGCATCAGCAGTGGCGAGACAGGTACGTACAGATACAATGCACTTTCCTATAGGACCTTATCCCTTCTAAGCCATGGCAGTGTGTGCTTTTACTCTGGAAGGTTACTTCAGCGTTGAATGAATGCTACCGAAACATTTGAGCAGAAGAAACACAGTGCTGCTTTTTCCCCTGATAGGTTTCCCCCCCACAGGCTCTGTCCAGTAAGGAACAGCTAAGAGGTCGAGAAGACAAGTGTCCGGCCCTACGCTGTCGATTAACGGCCGGCACGTTAGGACCGACGATTGCATTTGTCGATGGATTTGGTTCGAAAGGTCGCCTTGGCAAAGGAAGTTTACATTTGAATACAATCTGGTGCCTCAAACACACCCACTACAAAACAGCATCTGGAATATATTAAATAAATAATAATATTAATCATAATTAAAAAAAAGTTTTGTTAAGAAATTCACAAACGAGCAAGAGGAGAATAAAAAAAAAATCTAAATTTTAAAATGGGGGAGGAAGAAAACAAAAACTCAAAACAGAGATAGTGTGAATTTTTGGTCTAAGTAAATATCAACATTTTTTTATCTTTTAACAACGTTTTTCTTCCATACATTAGCAATTAGTAAGCATTATAACATAGATAATTTACTACAAAATCTATAGAAGCACTAACTGACCCATTCGGACTATACCGTAACGTAGAGAACTGAGTTCATGTATCCATCCCTCGTTGAACCTGCAGCACTCACCGACTACAGATTTCAGCACGATATAAACACAACGGTAAGGTGGATGAGAGCATGTAAATTGTTGTGTATGTGATATTTGGTTCTCTTTAAAGCTTGTTTATACTCGACTTTGGTTCTTTGGATGTACTTGAGCGTGTTTATCCTGATTTCTTATCTGTTGAACTGAATTTTCACAGTATTGTTTCAACCACCTGATTAGAGTCTCTAACACAACTAGATAGGAACAAGTAAGGAACGTAAAAAATGAGATTTCCGCTAATACGTGAATACCTTTTCCCCAAACGAAAGCACACAAATCTACACATACAGCCAAGAAAAGTCCCACAAAACAGACAGACGGAACGAAAGACCAAAAGTAACAACCCTCCCAACCCCCAAATGAACTCAAAACATCTTCTTCAGATGAGTCCAGTGAGGTCATCAAAGATGGAAGAGTCATCCAGGACCAGGAAGAGTTTGAATGACAGGAGGCAGAGGCGGATCCCTTGCTACATGGTTCTGGGTGACCTCGGTCCAGAGATGCATGAAGGGATACTCTTTTTCTGTACAGCGACTCACTTTGCTCCTCCATCCGTTTTTGGCTTGGTTTGTTTTTGGTTTTCCTTTATGGGAAGTTTGGCTGGCTGTGAAGTTTTGCTCCATTTTTTGGCTTGTAGAAGAAGCAGAGAGGATGGGAGCCCCTTCGCCGTGACGGTTTCCCATGTTGCCATGCTGTCTTACCAGAGCGGCCTCGTCAAGGTTTGGGCCCCTGATCTCTTTCTGCATCATGTGAACGATGAACTGATCATGTATGAATGGATCGCTTTGGTATTCAGAAGGGAGAAAGTGAGTGAGGAAGGCATGAAATGGAATGAGGAAGGATACAAGCACTTAATTATTAAGAGAGAAATGAGAGTATTTACACTTAACTAGAGGTGTGAAAGCTAGAGAGCTTGGTCTCACTTTTATTACAAACAAGTGCATCAAGCTATGCAGTGCTAATATGATGACCATCAAAGACCAAACACCCAATCCTCTCTATATGCTCGATAAGACATGGAATGATGATGATGATGATCATATGTACTGAAACATTCATTAAAGACAGATGGTAAAATCTGCTACTTCTGAGAAAAAAAACAGACAAGAATGAGGAAGAACCAGAGAAACACAACAGCGTTGGGAGTCTGGCTCATTCATATTTAAAATGAAATCATAAAAAACATGATGTGATTGCATGGCAGGTAAGATGATGAGCTCAGAGATGGCTGGATTGTTGTCACTGGGTCCGGTCCTGGACGGTTGGCTATTTACAGGTCCTTTGGATAAAGCTTTTCCATCCGTATTTTTGGTGTTTGTTTTTGGTATTTGAGATTTTGGTATGCTTGTATTTTTTTGTCATAGTGAGACTCTCAAAGTTCCATTATACTTTTTGGTATTCAGTACTCCACATGTATGCTTCAAAGCGTTCTTTAACACACAGTAAAGTTTGTTCTCTTTGTTGTTTTTGGTGCTCAAGGATCTCTTTTTGTCCTCTTCTTACTGCACTACATAGTTTATTATTCTCCTTTTATTTATGTATTTGGCTGTGTCCAGCTAAGCCGCATGGTGTTTTTTTGGTTTCGTTTTCCGTCCTCTCCTCTTCCTTCCTGCTTCCACTCCATCTCTCCATCTCTCCCCTCTTTTACTCAGTATTTTTTTGGCATCAGTAGAGCGAGAGAGCGGAAGAGAGAGAGTGTGAACAAGAGGAAATGAAAGGGAGCGAGGGGATCAAGAGATGCTTTGGTTGACAGGTAAGGTTTCATCTCCTCCTTCTCCTCCTCCTGTGATTGGCCTTGGGCAACGTCACTCGATTTTAGCCCCTCCAATCGAGTGTGGGCTGTGTAGCAAATCACCGGAAGAGCAGGAAGAGATGGGGCTCGAGCAAGGGGAGGGACTCATGCCGCCTGTGACAGGAAATGAGGTTCTGGCAAGAGCTGAACTGCCCAATCCCATGCCGGTGCCTGTTGCCATGGGCAACAAAGAGGAGTGGTTGAGAAAGAGGGAAGAGGGGAGACCTGCTCCTTGGCCTCCAGAACCACCAATTAACACCTTGCTGCTGCCCTCAAGACTGGAAATGGGCAGCTGGCCACCACTGGCTGCTAGAGCTGTGAAAGAAACACAGTATTACTCCCAAACATCAACAAAACTGACATGTAACGCATTAAACAGGATGCACTAGCATGTGAACTGATGAGCAGATGTGAAAAAGGGTGAAAAGGAGTAGAAGGACATAAACAGACACTCAAACAGAGAGGACACAGTAACACATGACTGATATGAGGTGGCAGAGTCATTAGTGTCTCTCTCGCCCTCTCTTTCACACAAACCTTGGATAGTAGCAAGTGGGTTGCTGACAAGAAGAGCTTGGTTCATTCCTGTGTTAAGTCCCCTCATCGTATTCCTGAGTCACACAAACAAATAACCAACCCACAAAACACACAGACAGAAACGGAAAACAGAAATACAGGGAAGAGGAAGGGAAAAAGAGAAAACATTTAGAAGCATAGTTAAGAGTAGGGGTGTAACTAGGGTTGCCAACTGTCCCGTATTAGCCGGGACGTCCCTTATTTTGGGCCTAATTGATTTGTCCCGTACGTGACCTCCCTTGTCCCATTTTTTAACTGCTACGCTGATCTAACCACTGACTGATACAACAGCAGCAGTGCTGATCACTTGAGAATGATCACCGATACCTGTCATCATCCAATCACAGCCCCCCTCACTCAGTATACGTTAAGTAAATCAGAAATCGTGAACATAACTGTTCGAGGAAGGCTGCAGAATCCTCTGCCGGTGTTCTGTCGATTTGTGCAACCCTGTCAGATTTTGCTACCTCACATTAAAACAGTGAGTAGTACAATTCGACAACGAAAAATGCTACCTGTAAAATTATGGTTTATTAAAGGTGCAGTAGGAGATCTTGGAAAATGCTAACATTAGCATGATAGCACTGACAGAGAACATCCCACCCTCCCTGCAATCGCCGTCCAAAGCCACGCCCCCTGAAGGCATATAAGCTCACAGACCAGAATACCAGAGACAACATTACTACAATAGGCTACATCAGCGGTTCCCAATTCCAGCCCATGTTCTGAAGTGAAGTAAACTTAAATGGATTTCCCCTGCTCAGAGAGTAGGGAGCAATGAACTCTGTGTAGGGATCATATCGATCGGAACACAGTTCATGCACGTAGCTCACTTCTAACGAGCTGGTTATCTGAATCGGGTGTGTTAACTAAGCGAGACATGCAAAATATGCAGAGCGGGGGGCGCGAGGACTGGAATTGGGAACCGTTGGGCTACATCATGTGTCATTCACCGGTGAGAAGACTTTAAATGTACTACAATACCAGGAAGGAAGATCGGGTTGTTGATGTTTGTCTGCCATTCTCGCTCTGTCTGCACAGTGTGCGTGAACGCGCTGATGACGTATCCTGTCTGCGCGAACC